CATCCATCTTCTCATTCTCCTTCTCTCCTCATCTTTCCTCTTCTTCCATCTTTCTCTCCTTCTTCCTTCCCAATCTTCCTTCTCATCCCTCCATTTCTTCCTCCTTCTCCTCATCTTCTCTCTTCTCCATCTTCTCCTCCTTCTCTACTCTCCTTTCTCTCCACTTCTACTCTTCCCCTCCATCTTCCTCCTTCTTCCCTCCCCCCCCCTTCCTCCTCTTCCCTCCCTTCCATCTATCTCTCCTACTCCTCCCCTCCCCCCACTTTCTCTCCTTCCCTCCCCTCCCATCTTCTCCTCTTCTCCCCCTACCCCAGTCGTCTCCTCCATCGTTCTCCTTTCTCTCCCTCCACTCCCGATTCACTTTTCACTTTTCACTTTTATCGGCGTTCTCAAGTTTAGAAGCTATACAAGTACTCCTTGCTTCTTATTTGTAACTTTATTATTATTATTTTTTAAAGGAGGGGGGAGGGGCTGCAAGTTCCTTGTACATTTTATACTAAGATGAGGTAGAAGGGTTGGAGGAAAGTGTATTCTCTTGTGTAGAGGTCATGGAAGGGGAAAAGGAAGGAGATGGAAAGGGAAGGAGAGGAGGTGGTGGTGATTGGGAGGGGGAGGGGAGGGGGGGAGGGGAGGGGGTGGTGGGATAAGAGGCTGAGATTATGGGGATGGGGAGGTGAAGGTGATGAGGATAGGGAGGGGGAGGAAGGCCTTTTGAAAATTGACTTTTGAATCTGATACCGAGTCCTTCGCTGCTGCCGCATCCTTGTGAAACTCGTTTTCTTCTGTCTCTTTTACTTTTTTTTCCTCTCTCCTCCTCTCTTTATTTAGTTTGACCCTCATTCAGCTCCATCTTCATAGCCTCATCTCCTCCCCTCCCGTCATCGTTCCTTCCCTCCCCTCCCTCTCTCTCCCCCTCTCCCCTCTCTCTCTCTCTCCCTCGCTCTCCCTCTCCCTCTCCCTCTCCTCTCCCTCTCCTCTCCCTCTCCTCTCCCTTCCTCTCCCTCTCCTCTCCTCTCTCCCTCTCCCTCTCTCTCTCTCTCTCTCTCTCTCTCCTCCCCTCCCCCTCGCTCTCCCTGACACTGTTCCCCTGCGATTCGCCGGCCGCCGCCATTCACCATAGTGTAGACCGGCGTCCGTTGTAACAACCGGCCTAAAACTGCTGCAGTCAGCTGGGTCGATGTTTTCTCTAGGACCGGGAGGGTCGGGCTAGCCAGATGTAGAGTCAGTTCTCCTCCCTTTTCGTCCTGTATTTTATCGAGGACTTTTTTCTGTGTATTTATGGTTAGATTTCTGTGGTTAGACTTTTGTGTATCATGTGGCTAATATTCATATTTTTTAGCCTTTATGATTATTCTTCTGTAGTTATTAACGTATATTTTGGATATGAATAGGAATATGATTTTTAAAGTATTTTGTTTTTGTATGTATAGGTATTATTCCTCAGTTGTTGTTTTTTCCCGTTCTGAGACATTCTCTTACGTTCCTGCTCGCCTCTCGACGGTCACCGCTCGCTCAACTCCGTGTTCGTTTTGTTCATTGTCTTCGTTGGCTGTTATCTTTCTCTTACCCATTCCCTCCTCCGGCTATGGTGGGGCGTGGCGGGGTTAGTGAGCACTTCCGGGTGTCTTGTGACCCGATGAAGGAGGAGAAGGGGAAGAGAGCGAGCACGATAAGGGGGAAATGAAGGGAGAGGAGGAAGAAGGGGAAGATGAAACTTGATTTAGAGGAAAAGGGAGACGGGAATGATGATAAGGGGAATGAGGAAGTAGGAGAAGAGAGAGAATAATAGATGAGATACAGCCGGAGACCGAAGGGAGAGAAGGGACAAGTCGAAGCCTAGGCCTGCGTGCCGGCGCAGGGCGAACGTAGTGCAGCAGCTCCTCCTGGCGGGGACAGTCCGACGGCCGACGCCCGTGTGGGCTGGCGAAGGCGGGGATATTTATAGCAGGCGCAGGACATCCTCGCGCCGCACGTCAAACCTGTGGCGATCTCTGACGCAGGTTTACCGTAGAGAATGGGGAAAGGGTGGGGGGGAGGGGCGTCTAAGTAGGCCTATGGATACAGTTTCTATCCTGTATATTTTTCTGTATATTCAGTTATTTGTGTCTTTGCTTTATATTATCCGTATATTCTGTTACTTGTGCCTTCCATATATATATATATCTGGATATGCAGTTACTTTTCCTTCCCTGTATACTTATCTGTATATTCAGTTACTGCCTTTCCTGTATGTTTATTTACTTATGCCTTTCCTGTATGTTTATCCAATTATTTGACGAGGGAGGAATTAGAGGTGTAATGGAGGAGGAGGAGGAGGATGGATGGCGACGGTCAGGAAGAGAGGAAAGGAAGGGAGGCAGCGAGAGAGATGAATGATTGAGGAATAGAGGCCCAGGGGAGAGCATGAGTGAGACAGATGCGAAGGGAAGAAGCGAGAGGAGATCGATGCTGAGGAAGATACAGCTGAGGGGGGGGGGGGGTATGGATGTCAGGGATGCTATTTTTGGTCATTAGAGGGGAAAAAAGAAAGGGAGAGTGTAAGAGGATAAATGTGTGTGTGTGTGATTGTGTGTGTGTGAGTGTGAAGTGAGTGAATGTGTGTGATAAGAGAAAGAGAGAGAGAGGGAGTGAGAGAGGGAAAGGGAAAGGGAGGGGGGAGGGATGTGGAGCGTTTTGATTTTGTGGTGGGAATAGCGGTGGGAATTGTGACATGATATCCCGGAACAAAGGGCTGATAGCAAGACAATGCCACCGGGTAAAATGGAAATGTAAAAGGAAAAGGAACAATCACCCGGAATCCTCGGGGGTTTCGGATTCGTCGTGATGTGTCCATGTGGCACCTGGTGGAACAGATGGAGGGGATGAAGGGGGTGGAATGGGAGGTAGAGGGAGGTCGTCCTGCAGGTCAGTGGCACCGACTCGGCCTCGCACAGTGCCACTGTCCCTATGGTTTAGGCAGCTTTGGAGTCCTTTGTTCGTTTCATGTTCGCTCTCCAGTATTGTCTAAGAGGTTGTGTATGATCAGTTCCTTATCTTTATTCTTTTATACATGGCCTGTGTAATAACTCAAAGTTGCGTTTTACTTCCCAGCATTTAAGAGTGTTTGCAGGCACACACTCCCTAGTCTTCGTCTCCCCCACTATGTGACGTGCGGCCTTGACCACCTGTTGTGGGCAGGACCCCTCGAGTGCCTGGAACGAGTCCTGTGCCTTTGCGTTTCCCCTCAAGCGCTTGCGAGGGGACCGCGGTCAAGCCGGTTACGTCGGTGGCATCTCTCTGTAATTTTTTAATAGCCTGAAGCAGATGTATCCTTGTGCCGAACCTAGGTGCTGGTGAATGTCGTTCTTCTGTTGCTAAACTGGGTGCCTCTCCTGCATGTTCTGTAATGGCACGTAGACCTTACACATTTAAAATGTTCTAATACGAACCTGTAGTTCAGAGCTTCTTGCAGGCATCCGAAATTTTCATGTTTGTACGGAAGGTGGGGAGGAACGGATTTGCATATGGGGAAACCTGGAGCTGCTTGCATGCGTTGGGGTTAATTAAATACCTTTTAGGAAGCGATGCTGTGATGTTCCCTTTTTGTTATTCTCGACTTAGTGGAATCTAAACGCGTTGGAGAATATGCGTAGGTTTATGTGCTTGGCTGACCAGAAGTTGACGTTCACTTGCGTATTTCTTGTTTGCGGAAAGGCGATAGGAGGGGCGAGGGAGGCGGGGGAGCAGGGCGGGGGGCTGGCTGAGTGAGGGTGTGCGTGGGGGAAGTGGGAGTGTAGGGGTATGGGGTGTGTGTGGGAAGTGTGGGTGTGGGGCGTGCGGGGAGGCTATCATGGAGGCGAAGCGGTGGCGGCAGCGGCGTCGTGGCGGCCCAGGTATGTCCAGTTTCCCACGGTGGCTCCCCGCTCCCGGCTGTTGGCGGACGATAATATTCGCAGCGGATGCAAGTCGTGTCCCCTTTTTGGTCGCGCCCTTTGCAAAGGAGAATAGAGCGGGTCTTGTCGCGTGACACTGAGCGAGGCGCTGGACGAGGAAGACGGAGGCGGATGGTGAGGACGAGGAAGGAGGGACGACGTGGCGACGGAGGTGGACAGGGGGCGGGGGGAATGGGGAGAAGGGGGGCAGTGGTCACCGACTTCCTCCGACTTCCTTCTTGGGGGCGATGAGGCGGTCGCGCTCCTTCGTGGCTCCCTCCCCCTCCCTCTCTCCTTCCTTCAGTGCCTTCGCTCGGTCTTCCCTTCTTTCCTTCTACACGTCTCCGCTTTCTCCTCTCCCTTCGTCTCTTTCTTTCTTCCTTCCTTCCTTCCTTCCTTCCTTCCTTCCTTCCTTCTTCTTCCTTCCCTTCCTTCCTCCTCCTCCTCCTCTCCTCCCTCCCTCCCCTCCCCTCCCTCTCCTTCCCTCCCTCCTCCCTCCCTCCCTCCCCTCCCCTCCTCCTCCCTCCCTCCCTCCCTGTCCCTTTATGTCCCTCCTTGCCTAATTATTGCTCTTGTTTTTGTTATACTTGTTGTTCCTGTTCGTCTTCCTGTTGTTGCTGATGCTATTTATTATTAATTTTGTTATTATTATTGTTGTTATTGTTATTTTTATTATGATGATGATGATTGCTATTGTTATTATAGCTGTTGCTATCATCATCATCATCATCCAAACAATCAATCAATCAATCAATCAATCAATCAATCAATCAATCAATCAATCATCAATCATCTTCAGTAATAATAATAATCATTAATAATCATGCCATCAATATCATATTTTATGAATGATGACCTTTTATGACAGTGGGGGATATTAACCTCCGCCAAGAAAGTTGTGCTTTTGGCAGCGTTGTTTAGTTTGTTCGTTGGTGAGCAGGATGACTAAAAAAAAATCGAATATATTTTTATGGAATTTTTACGAGGTGTATCTTGGCCCAGCTTTGATGCCAGTTTGAGGAGGAGGTGATTTTGATGTAATTCTTCAAGTGTGAATATTTTTTATTGCATCAGTGACCCAATGTCGGTATGGGGTCGCTGAGTGCTTCTAGTATGTAATGCAAACGTGCGCGTTTAAGCAGTAACATCTAATTAACATTAAATGCTGGTAAACCAATACGTGGAATGTAACATGCGAGGTAACATAATAACAGGGGATGTAATTGTGTATTTGAGCTGATGAGCGATCCTATTCGATGCTCGTCTTCATCTTATGTTAATCAGTCTATCAGTCTCAGTAAATAAGTAATATTGAATTCATGTATATATATTCCCACCTTATCTCTCTCTCTCTCCTCTCCTCTCTTCCTCCCTTGTATATATATCTTACCCAAAGTGTCAACGTGTATCTTAATCGATTCCCTCTCCTTCCCGCCCACAGTGAAGCCCGTGGTGCAGCGAGTCAAGGCCCTGCGACTGTCCCGCGACGACTTCGAGGTGATCAAGGTGATCGGGCGGGGGGCCTTCGGCGAGGTCTGCGTCGTCAAGCTCAAGGGCACGGAGAAGGTGTTCGCCATGAAGATCCTCAACAAGTGGGAGATGCTGAAGAGGTAAGAGCTGGGCGGAGACTGGGAGGGAGGGAGGGAGGGAGAGGAGGGAGGAGGAGGGAGGGAGAGGGAGGGAGGGAAGGGAGAGGGAGGGAGGGAGGGAGAGGGAGGGAGGAGGGAGAGGGAGGAGGGAGGGGAGGGAGGGAGGGAGGGAGGAGGGAGGGAGGGAGGGGAGGGAGGGAGGGAGGGAGGGAGGGGAGGGAGGGAGGGAGGGAAGGGAGGGAGGGAGGGAGGGGGGAGGGAGGGGAGGGAGGGGAGAGGGAGGGAGGGAGGGAGAGGGAGAGGGAGGGAGAGAGGAGAGGGAGGGAGGAGAGGAGAGGGAGGGAGGGAGGGAGGGAGGGAGAGGGAGGGGGGGAGGGAGAGGAGGGGAGGGAGGGAGAGGAGGGGGAGGAGAGGGGGAGGGAGGGAGAGGGGGAGGAGGGAGGGGAGAAGGGAGGGAGGAGGAGAAGGAGGAGGGGGAGGAGAGGAGAGAGAGGGAGGGAGGGAGGAGGGAGGGAGGAGGGAGGGAGGAAGGGAGAGGGAGGGAGGGAGGGAGGAAAGGAGAGAGAGGAGAGGAGGGAGGAGGGGAGGAGGGGGTAAGGAGAGAGAGGGGGAAGGGAAAGAGGAAAGGGGAGAAAGAATAAATGAAAGAAAAAGAGTGCTGAGATATGGATGGAATTCGGGGATAGGATGGGGGTTTGACAGGTTTGGTGAGAGAGAGAGAGAGTATGGTAAGAATGGTTGGATGTATAAAGGGATGGTGGGATGTATCAGGACTTGATACGATGTATGCGAAGTATGGTGGCTTTGGAAGGGATTGTCGGAATGTGTGAGAGCGTAGATAGGTGGGGGGGGGACTGGGAGGGGGTTGGTAGGAAGGCCGATGGTCTTGAATGCATGACGTTGCATGAGAGTCTGTCGGGATGTATGGGGATGTGGTGAAATGTGTGTGTGAGTTGGGCGTGACGTGAGGGACCGGTGGCTCGATGGCATGAGAGACTGTGAGAGAAGTTTGGTGGGATTTTATGAGTGGGAGGAGGCATGATGAGGGGGCTTGAAGGAGATATGTGTGAGGATTTAGTTGAAGGTTTTGGAGGTGTGTTTTTGAAGCTGTTGAGGTTTGTCTCGTGTGTTATGTGAGGGTGGCTTTGGCTTGCTTTTTAGGTGGAGTTTACCTGTTTTACCCCCTCCCCCCTCATTGTGCAGATTGAGTGAATGATGTGATGCTAGAGAAAGGAAGTCCTTCGGCACGATCTCTGATACTTTTGTATAAAAAGCTTTGGAATATTTTGGAAACGTGTTTGGAAAGCGTCAGTGTGTCCGTCTCCTCCTCCTGTTCGGATAATTAAGGATGTTAACGATTTTGATTCAGTACAGTATATAACCGTAATTACTTATTATTAAGAAAAATCTGCAGTTTACCCCTGTGTTGTGAATATTCTAATTGAGTAAGCGGTGGGTATGGAGTAACCTATTCGGGGGCACAGCATGTAAGTTCAAACAAACAAACAAAAAAAGAATAGAATGGGATAGGTTAGGAACGAGAGAGTATTTAAAGTTAACGGACGAATTGGGCAAGAGGTAAAGATCGGGCTAAAAGATAAGGAGAGCGTGTGCATGTGCGTGTGCGTGTGCGTGTGCGTGCGTGTGCGTGCGTGCGTGTGCGTGTGTGTGGCTATTGCACTGTATTTGAGAGAGGGAGAGGGAGAGAGACGCGACCGACGACGGCGTGACGTGTCTAAAGGTTCGCTCGGTCCAGCTGGGAAACCGTAGTAGTGTGTGAGGTGTGTGCCATGGCTAGGGTTACGGTGCGGTGAGGACCGCGGGGGTAGAATTACGCCGGGGGGATCAGGTCATGCATTGCCGTCTCCCCACCACCCTTTCCCTCACTTTCCGCTGTTCTCCATTTGACCCTCACTTCCCGCTCTTAGCCCATTTTCCACGTCTTCCTCACTCTCTCCTTCTCATTTCCTATTTTTCAGCATTCCTATTTCTTCCTCGCTCTATAGGACTGCCAACTCCCCTCCCCTCCCCTCCCCTCCCCTCCCACCTGTGATGGCTGTGATGGACAACGCAAGCGCATGACCGGTATCACTGCGCGCGCGCCATATACAATGTGTTAGCCACAGGCATGATTCCCTCCTTCCTCTCCCCTCCTCTCCCTCTCCCCCTCTCTCCCTCTCCCTCCCTCCCCCCTCCCCCTTCCCTCCCCCTCTCCCTCCTCCCTCTCCCTCTCTCCCCTCCCCCCTCCCTCCCTCTCCCCCTCCCTCCCTCTCCCCTCCTCCTCTCCCTCCCTCCCTCCCTCCCTCTCTCTCTCTCTCCTCTCTCCTCTCCTCCTCCCCTCCCCCTCCCTCCTCCTCGGCTCCTCTCCTCAGCCTTTCTCCCTAATCCCTCCCTCTCTCCTCCGTCCTCCCTCCCCTCCCTCTCCTCCCTCCCTCTCTCTCTTCTTCTCTCTCTCTCGTCTATCTTCACTCTCTCCAATGCTCTCTTCTCCTCCTCTCATCATCTTCTCTTCTCTCATCTCCTCTCTCCATCTCTTCTCTCTCTCTTTCTTCCTCCTCTTTCTCCTCTCTACTCTCGCTCATCTCTCATCTCCCTCTTCTCTCTCTCTCTCGTCTCTGTTCTCTTCTTCTCCTCTCTCTCTCTCTCTCTCTCTCCTCTCTCTCTCCTCTCCTCCACCTCCCCTCCCTCAACCCTCTCTCTCCCCTCTCTCTCTTCTCCCCCTCTAGCCCCCCCTCAACTCTCTCCCCTCTCCTCTATGCGCACCTCTCTCCCTCTCTCCTTCCGTCCTCTTCCTCCTTCCCCTTTTCTTCTTCTTCTTCATTCTTCTGCCTTCTTCTTTTTTCCCATCCTCTCGTTTTCCTCCTACTCTCTTTCCTCATCACTTCCTCTCACACCCTCCCCCTCCCCCTCCTCCTACCCTCTCTCCACCCACCTCCTCCTCTTCCTCCCCCCTCCCTACCCCCACACCCTCCCTCCCTCCCTCCTCCCCTCCCCTCCCCTCCTCCCCCTCCCCTTACCCTCTCTCTCCTCTCTCTCTTCTCTCTTCTCTCCTCTCTCTCTCTCTCTCTCTCTCTCTCTCTCTCTCTCTCTCTCCTCTCTTCTCTCTCTCTCTCTCTCTCTCCTCTCTCTCCCTCTCCCTCTCTCTCACTCTCCTCCCTCTCACCCTCCCCTCCCCTCCCTTCCTCCCACCTCTCTCTTCCCCCCCCTCTCTCTCTCTCTCCCTCTTCCCCCCCTCATCTCTCCCTCTCTCTCTCTCCCTCTCTTCCCTCTCCTCCTTCCCTCCTCTTCTCCTCCCCTTTCTTCTTCTCTCTTCTTTCTTCTCTTTTTCCTCCTTCCTCCTCCTTCCTTTTCCTCCTCTCCTCCTCTTCTTTTTCTTCCTCCTCGTTCTTCTTTTCTTCCTCCTCTCGTTCTTTTCCTCCTCCTCACCACCTTCCTTCTCCTCTCCTCCTCCTCCTCCCTCCTCCCTCCCTCTCCTCTCTCCTCCTCCTCCCTCCCCCTCCTCCTCCTCCTTCCTCCCCTCCCCCTCCTCCCCTCCTCCTTCCTCCCCCTCCTCCTCCTCCTCCCCCCCCTCCATCCTCCCCTCCTCCTCCTCCCCCCCTCCTCCTTCCTCCCCCTCCTCCTCCTCCCCCTCCTCTTCTCTCCCCTCCTCATCCCCTCTCTCTTCCTCCCTCTCCTCCTTCCTCCTCCTCCTTCTTCCTCCTCCCCCTCCTCTTCCTCCTTTCCTCTTCCTCTTTTTCTTTCTTCTCTCCTCTCCTTCTTTCTCCTCCTCTTCCTCTCACCACTCCCCTCCTGCTGCTGATCCTCCTTTTCCATCCTATTCCTTTTTTTTTCCTCCTATTTCTCTTCCTCCCTTTTCCTCCACTTTTTCCTCCTCTTAATCATCCTCCTCTTAATCCTCTTCCTCTTCCTCTTCATCCACCTCCTGGTCCTCCTCCTAAAACAGCTACTGCCTCTCCTCCTCCTCCTCCTCCTCCTCCTCCTCTCTTCCTCCTCCTCCTCCTCCTCCTCCTCCTCCTCCTCCTCCTCCTCCTCCTCTCCTCCTCCTCCTCCTCCTCCTCCTCCTTCTCCTTCCTCCTCTCCTCCTCTCTCCTCCTCCTCCTCTCTCCTCCCTCCTTCCTTCCTCCTCCTTCCTTCTCTCCTTCCTTCTCCTCCTCCTCCTCCTTCCTTCTCCTCCTCCTCCTCCTCCTCTTTCTTCTCCTCCCCCTTCCTTCTCCTCTCTTCTTCCTTCTCCCTCCTCTTCTTCCTTCTCCCTCCTCCTCCCTGCCTTTTCTCCTTCTTCCTTCCTCTCCTCCTCTTCTTTCTCCTTTTCCTCCTCCCTCCTTATCATCTGCCTCCTCCTCCTCTTCTCTCCTCCTCCTCCTCCTCCTCTCCTCTCCTCCTCCTCCTCCTCCTCCTCCTCCTCCTCCTCTCCTCCTCCTCCTCCTCCATCTCCTCCTTTTACTTCAGCTCTACTTTTAGTCTTAATGGTGATAATTTTTGTGATAATGAACATTATGATAATAAGGATAATGATGATAACGAAAATACCTTTTCCTCATAGGGCGGAAACTGCCTGCTTCCATGAAGAGCGTGATGTGCTTGTGTATGGAGACCGGCGGTGGATAACGAATCTTCACTACGCCTTTCAAGATGATAGTAACCTGGTAATTCTATTATTTTTTTTTAAATACAGCTTTGCAGTTGCAGTAGGATTTTTATCTATTTTTTATTTGTTTGAGAGTATTATTTTGGAAATCTGATAGTGATTTCTGATTTGTTGAAGCATTTGATAGTTTATTTTAAGAATTAAGATGTCATCTCTGTCTTTTGATATCTGAGGGAGAGTTTAATTCATTTGTAAGCATGATTACAGAACCTTTCCTGTCAAGATTGTTGAAGTATGATTTATAGCAAATTAATATAAAACATTTTTGACATATGAAACTATTTATGATAGAAATACCAAAAACAATGACAATGTTGGATCTTTCCCTCCTTCAGTACCTGGTAATGGATTACTACTGTGGCGGCGACCTGCTCACATTGTTAAGTAAATTTGAAGATCGACTGCCCGAGGACATGGCTCGTTTCTACATTGCAGAAATGATCCTTGCGATTGGTAAGCATTTTTATTGTTATTAATAACTGGAAAATATTTGTAAAAGATTTTTAAAAATGCCATTGAATATAAGTTATAGATTAAAAAATCACCTCCCTCATCCCCACTACAGATTCTATACATAAGTTACGATACGTCCATCGAGACATCAAACCGGACAACGTGTTGCTGGATGCCAATGGCCACATACGGTTAGCGGATTTTGGCTCGTGTTTACGACTTCAGGAAGATGGGACGGTGCAGAGTAATGTAGCAGTAGGGACACCGGATTATATATCCCCAGAAATCCTCAGGGTAAGTTTTGTTTTGCTTTGGCCCTATTTGGATAT